GCGGCTGCAACCGCTTTTCCTGGGTTCTCGTCGAGGACCTGCGCTGACAGCAACAGGCAGTAGCAGGTGGTAGTAGTAGGCATTCAGTCATTCAGCACACGCACCGTGATCATCCGTGATCGATGGTTCGCGACCCCGCACTGTTGGCGGCCCTGGAAATCAAACTAAGCAAATTGTGACTCAATCGAGTGTCATAAGAAAAGGTTCGCCACCTAGCTTCATCCACATGCCCTTCACGCTCCACCGGTGACTCGGCGACGGCTGCCGTTGCATGCTCCACTGTGTCTTGTGCCTGGCCCTCATCAGCTGGAAAAAACGCTGCTTCTGCCTCCCAAACATCCAAGGCTTCCAAAGCAGTCAGCCCAGTGTTTGACCCGGCACTCGACGAAGGCATAACCACTTGCAGAGACGTACACTCCACACTGGCCGCTGGCGCGGCATCTGCTGTCGCTGCGTCTGCATTGGAGGCTGTAGGACCAGCAGCATCGGCACCGCCACGCATGGATTGTCGCCAAATAGTGTTACACCTGTGGCTATGTCGCCCAAGTCTGCAAAACGAGCAACATTCACGATATCCATTTCCAGAGCCCCTAGGGCATCCACCTGTAGAGCAGGGACCGGATACGCGACGAGGGATTACGCCGTCCCTCGTGAGTGCCCTTTGCAAAGCGCCACAGCGCCTGACGTGCGCCACACCTCGTGAACTCCGGCATGCAGAACAGCAATGCTTGTGACGCGAGAAGGGATATAGCCTGCCACAGTTCGGTGTTGCGCATCGGCGCAGCACCGAATGCGTAGCCCCATCAGCAGGAACATCGGAAGGAGCAGGCTGCGTCGAAGCATCATCTACCGTTTCCGTCCAGGCGTGGAGCTGCGTTGTATCAGCGGCTGGCCGTGGCGCATCCATGGACCTATGTGGCACGGGCTGCGGTCCTCGACTCTGCAGGCTACTGCGTACGACCAACATCTCGACAACTGAACAGTCCTGACCTCTCTGCAAGGGGTTGTCAGTGGTTTTCACGCACCCTCAGCTCAGGAGCCACAAAAATGCACTGCAGCAAACCACTGCATGTCATGGAATCTGAAAAAACCTGTGTGTTTTCTGTTTTAGGATTTAGGGTTTAAGGTGATTCGGGGTTATTGATGG